TATTCTTTTTAAATGAATATTGACGATCACCGATACATCCTAATGGCTCTAATAAGTCTGTTATTGGGATACATTCTAACTGTTCTAAATTACGAGAAGATGCAAGAAAAGCATCAAATAAATCTTTAGAAATATGAGGAGAACATCTATGACTATCTACTTCGTTTTGAACTATTTTATGAATTTCATCAAAATTTGATTTAGCTTGAAGAATACAGTTTTTACTTTTTTCATCAAGTAAATATAACGGATTACATTTTAATGGTGTATCATATCTATTGAGCTGAATTCTTGAAAAAAGGTTATACCTTTGTTCATATGGAATTGACTCGTCTCTGTAATATTTGTTTAATAAAGGAGAAAGAGTTATGAACATTTCTTCTATTGATTTACATGAAAAAACTTTTTCATATGACCCTTTTAATACATTATCAATATCAGGAATTGACAATAAGTACATCTTTACAAATGTAACAAAAGATCTATTCATTTACCTTAATATACAAGAAAGATGAGATTGGTTAATAAGGAAATAATAAATTCATTTTTTCATTTTTATTTTTTCATTTTTATTTTTTCATTTTTATTTTTTAAATTAGTTTTAAAATTGTTTTTTTGTTTTTTGTTATCAACTTTGGTTCATAAAGTTTATTTCAATAATGAATAGATACAATATTCAATTTATGAAATTAATGAAATTTCTTTATAAAGAGAATTGTTATCAAGTAAAATTCAATTCAATTATCCATCAATTTTTTATTCAAAACTGTCAATAAAAGAAATTAGTTTTAGTATTTTAATGATTGATTAATAATACTTTTAAATTGTCAAATGGGTTAAACCTCTTAGTTGAACATTTTACAAGTTTTGATCTTTTTTACAATCTTCTATTAGTGATATAAAAGGAAAGAACTTAATTTATTTATTCCGCTAGATTTGAAAAATGTCTCTTCCTAACATATATCCTGAACATTATGAAATTAACAAAGGTTCTAAATATTATAGAGAACTTATTCCAAGACCATTATTTGAAGAGTATTTTAATAATATCAAGAAATTAAGTATTGATTTTTTATGTAAATTAGATCCAAGTCATGCAGAATTATACAAATCCTTTGTTCCAGAAATAGATAATTTTGTTAATCAACCATTTTTTAAAGAGTCTATGTATGAAATGTTTGCTGGTTGTGAAGATCAAACAAGTATTCCATTTAAAACAACAATGAGAAGTTCTGTTGCTAAGATGTCAGCTTTTATAAAATATAATATTGAACTAAAAATAGATAGAGAAAATATTGAGAAGATTCAAATTAAAAAACCAATTTATATTGTTTCACTTCCAAGAAGTGGATCAACATTTACTCATGCAGTTCTTGCTTCTGACCCTTGTGCAAAAACAATTAAATTATATGAACATCTTTCTCCTGGTCATAAAACAATGACATATGAAGGAAGGGTTGGATTTAGTAACTCAATCATTGGTCAAATTAATTCTAGTTCTAAGGATTTTTGTAAATGTCATGCTATGGATAATGTAAATGCACCAGAAGAAGAACTCTTCTTTATGGAACTTCTTGAACATACATTATGTTTTGGAACTTCAATGCCTAGATGGGAACAATATAGAAAATCATCATATGAAAGAGATTTTTCTGGAGTCTATAATGCTGTTTTAAATGAAATGAGAATGTCTGCAGTAGAATTTCCACTTCCAGAAAATGGATATTTCTTGATGAAATGTGTTTCTCATTTGATGACTATGGTACCATTTTTTAATATAATGTGTGCTGATGAAATTGAAGCTAGAATTGTTTGGATTCATAGAGAACCAGTTGATGAAATTAAGTCTGCATTTTATTTACTTGATAATGCTAGAGCTCGATATCTTGGAGATGTTGGATGTGATGATCCAAAATGGTTACACGAGAGTATTTGTAAAATGCATAACATAGTATTAAAAAATGCTATTTCAACAAGAGAGAAATGGATTGCTGAAAATCCTGAAAGAGAAAAACAGATTTGTGACATTGGGTTCAATGAAATGATTGTAGACCCAGTTGGCGTTTCAAGAAGAATATATGAGAAGTTTGGTATGCCATTTACTGATGAATTAGCTCAAAAAATTAAAGACATGGTTTTGAATAATGACCCTCAAAAGAAACATGGAAGAAAAGAAAAGAAAGAAGATGAGTTTACTGTTCCAGATAGTGTTGTAAGAGAACAATATAAATGGTATTTTGATAAATTTGGAAAGTACATGCCAAATTATTGGGGTAAAAATTAAATGATTTTTTATAAATTTTAAAATTTTTTTTTTGTTAATAACAAATAAATAAAAGTTTTCAAAGAAAAATCAATCATAGTATCAAACGTTCAGTCTTATATTTTTGTTGGTATTTAATGTATTTTTTAAGGAAGTGCTTTGACTTGGTCAGCAACAAAGTCAACAAATAAAGCTTTTCTGTAATATCCATCTAATGTTTGTAAATGTTTAGTATTTAATTCTTTCATACGATCTAAACTCTTCTTAAAGTCTTCACTATTAAGACTCTCTAAATCCCATTTTAAAAATATAGCGTTCATAACGGTTTGAGCCACAGCCATTGATACATTTCGTTCATTCCAGTATCTAGCAAATTCATACAATTTCTTTCCTAGTTCTATATCCCATTCTTCAATAGCCTCAGAAACATTACAAGAACTACAACAATTTAATGCCTCTTTTTGAAGTCCTAATTCAACACATACTTTTAATGCTTCTTTCCATTTACCTTGTCGAGTTAAATTCATTAATTTTTGACCAAGAAGAATTTCTTTTTCTCTTGACGTAATTCTTTCAGCAACAACTTCAGAAGAAATGTCTTGAATAAGTGAAACTAACCCATTATCTCCTGTAACAATAAAGTTTTGATTGTGCTTCGTAATAGACCATAATTTCTCTTCAGAAACATCTAATGTTTGTGTATTTTCTCCAGTCTTTACAACCCATAACCTTACCGTTCCATCATTACCAACAGAGATAATTTGAACACCATCATTAACAAATATTGCCTTAGATATTCCACCATTATGCCCTTGTAATGTTCTTAACGCAGAAAGAGACTTGACACTCCATAACCTAATTGTTCCATCACCAGAGGCTGTGGCAACAACTTGTTCTATTGGGGAAAATTCTGCTGAAATAACAGCTTTTGTGTGTCCTTTTAGTACGCCATGTAAAGCGAATCCTTCTTTAGGTGCCCAAAGTTTAGCAGACTTATCAGCTGAACCACTCACAAGGAAAATATCTTTTGTTGAGAATGTTAAACATTGAATTTCTTTAGTATGTGCAGCAAATGCATCTACTTGTGTAAATTCCTCTAATGATTCATAAGAAAATATCTTAATATATTTATCATTAGAACCTGTTGCAATCATTCTTGATTGTGTAGAATGACCTAAAGCAGTTACTGCACCACTATGAACAGTTGTATTAACAAGCTCTTTCATAGTTTTAAGGTCCCATAATGAAATAGAACCATCGAAATATCCAACAATAATATAGTCTTTTGAGGGAGATATACAATATGACATTATCACTGAATCATGACCATAATATAATTGTGAGGTATGTGCAACAAAGTCATATACTTCTAATGCATTTGAATTATTTAATAACAACACTTTATTACAATGTAATGGGAATTCAATATCATGTTGTTTTTTTTCTTCATTAGTTAATGTATTATCTGATTCGTCATCATTCTTTTCTAATGGCAAACAACAAATTATACTCTCTCTATCAAAACAGTCATAACTCTTAACTTTTCCTTCAAAAGAATAAAAGATTAAATACCCATCATGACTTACATGAATAATTTCTTCTCCTGCAATCAAAACCGCACCTGGAGACAATAGTCGTTGTTCTTCTTTATTTTTCCATATTATTTCTTTATCTTTTAAAGCAATGAGATTACCTTCTTCTGTTCCAAGAATAATATATTCTCCAGCAAATTGAAGAAATAAAGAATAAGTAATTGGAATAGTTTTTGTTGGTTTTAAAGATTGCATGTCCCAAATTATAAGAACATTATCTTTTCCAATAGAAACAAGTTGTTTCTTTGTATTTAATTTCATATCTACAATGCCATTTAAATGTCCAAACATATCTTTTATTTTGTTTGTATGTAAATTAAATTGTCTAATAGTTTCAAGAGAATCTGAAGATGCATAAACAAGGTATTGTTCTTTTGAATCATCAAACAAAACATTTGTTACAAGAGAATGAGAAAACACCAAATTATGTGTAAAGAATTTATTTTGTAAATCATAAATACGTACATATCCATCATTACTTCCCATTGCTAAAAAACCATTAGAATAACTAAAACACATTGAAACAGTAACAGATTGTTGTTTAGTAGAAGTGTTTGGTGTTTTGATAATCATAAGATGTTCTTTTGGAATAGAAAGGTCATAAACATAAACTAATCCTGATGAATAAGAAACAGCTAAGTATCTGTTATTTGGTGAAACAGCAAAATTTAATATATCTGAAGAATCTCCTTTATATGTAAATTTTATTGAACCATGTAATGCTGAAACATACGTCGTTGTTGCATCTTCACCTACCCAAATTAAATTAGACCCATCAGAAGTACAAGTAAAAGCACCTCCACAATACTTAGTTTGAAAGACAGTTTGTTTAGAAAGTTGTTGTATAAGTTTTTCTTCTTGTCTTGTAGGAATTGCTTCCATCCAGGGTTTTTTATATTTTTTTTAATTTCTTTTTTAATTTTTTTATTTTTAAAATATTTTTTTTTATAGTTTTATTCTCTCGTTTTAACTTATTATTCTCTTTGATGTTTTAATATTTTTAGTTCTATTAGTATAACCAGTTACTATATCATTTAATCGTTTATATTCTTCAATAAGTCTTGATAAAATTACTTTCTTTATTCTATTAGTTTTTTTATTTTAATAAATCTTTCAAATGAACTAAGTAATTTATTGAATAAGATATGGAAAATAAATCTGAAATAGAATTAAATCAAAATCAATGTAAAAGCAATATTCTTTCGTTAGAGGGTTTATTAAAAAAAACAGTAGACACAATGGTAATTTTGTTAAATTCCATTGATGAAGAAAAAACAAAATATGAAGAATGTTTTGGTCCTTTAGAAGAGCATATGATAATTAACCCACCTCAACGAATTATTGAATGGGTTCATTCAATTCAACAAACAATACCTCCATTAGAAGATGAGTTATCACCAACAAAAAGAAATAAAATTGAAGGAACAATGAAAATGGATGTTGGAGGGGTTATTATTAATTTTTCAAACCAAAGAGAAAAACATAGTACTTCATTACCTAAAGTAGCTGATGACTCTTTATTGTTTTTTATGAATAACCAATTTAAAACAAAGTCAATTGGAATAACAGCAAATATTTCAAACACAGATTTAATAAATTTTCCTTCGTTTTCTTCTCAACCATTTAAGGAACAATTAAAGAAACATTACCCAAAATTTCAAAAGGAGGAGAATAAGACAGTTAATAAAAAAACTTCAAAAAGAGAAAGAAAGATGAAGATTAACATTAATAAAAAACCTAAAAATTGAATTGAATTTGTCTTACCTCTTTTTCTCAACTTTTTTCAATCTAAATTTTGTTGTTTTCCAAACAACAAAATAAATATAAACCCTGTTGAAGTTACTAAATAAACTACTTCATTTGTACAACACTTCACCAAATGAAAGTTGTTATGGTTGGTGATTGTAGTTTGTTTATTATTCTTGTTTTTAATAATACAAAAGAATAGAGTAAAAAAATAGGTGTTGGTAAAACATCAATTGTAAATAGACTCGTTAATAATGAGTTTATTCAAGAAGTAAGAGCAACTGTTGCTGCAGTATTTCATCAGACAATTGTTGATAGTGAAGATGACTCGTATAAATTAGAAATTTGGGATACTGGTTTGAATTAAATTTTAAATAAAGTAAAACAACTTATTCATAATTTAGCTGGAGAAGAAAAATATCGTTCAGTAGTTGGTTCTTATTTTCGTGGTGCAAATGGAGCAGTTATAGTATTTGATGTTATGGATAAAACCTCATTTGAACATATTGTGGATTGGGAATTGGAAATAAAACAAGTTGCACCAGAAGCTACTATTCTTATTCTTGGAAATAAGGCAGAACAAAATAAATGGGTGTTACAAAAAGATGAAATTGAAATTAAATTAAAACAAAACAAATTAAATTATTTTTTTGTATCAGCAAAAACTGGATTAAGTTTGTTCTATTGTTATTTGGAAAAGTAATTTTAAGACTCATCACTTTAAGACATTAAAAAAGCATTTATATCTCTTGCTACTACTATGCAACCAAGTGAAATTAATGAAAGTGTATGTGTTTTAAATTCAAATACTAAAGTTGAAGAGGGGTGTTGTTAGTTGTATGCTCTTTTTATTAAAAAAATTAATAAACAATGTTTTATTAAGGTATTGAATAAATTAGAATAGATACTTTCTGTATGAACAAAGTCTAATTGTTGGTATCTAAAATTAAGAATTTTAGTTATATTTTTATAAGAAAAGTTAATATTTTCAAAGTATATTTTTAGAGGAGTATTAATATAAATAAGAGATACATTACATTAATTTAAAACTTTTCTTTTTTATTCTTATATATTATGTTATTGTATTTTATTATTATCTTCTTTTTCAATTTAATCAATAAAATAAATTGAATCTAATCGTTTATTCTTTTATTCTTATTCTTTATTTATGTAGGTTTGTATGTTTATTTAATGTTATTAATTAAAAAGTATTTATTAATCAATTAGAATTTCATTTATTCTATTTCATGTTTGTGAATTATTTCATTTTGTTGTTTTGGTTGTGTTAACTGATGGAATTATGAGATATCAATACTTCATTTATTTTTAATGTTTATTCATGTTGTAGATTCTAAATAGGCAAAGAAAAAAAGCAAATAATGGAAACAGAAGAGAAAGATATAAAAGAATAAAAAGAAAATAAGAAGTAGAAGAAGATGAAGAAAGAATAAAAGTAGAAAGGAGAGAATATAAAAATAAAGAAGACAAAGTGTAATAAAACAAAAGAGATGATAAAAGAAGAAAAGAATGAAAAAAATAAAGGATGCAAATTTTATTGAAACAAATAAAAAAAGCGCAAAATTTAATGATGCAAAATTTAATGATGCAAAATATTTTGAAATAAAAATAAATCATCATTTGATATTATTATATTTGATAATAATTTATAGTATGTATTAAATACATCATATTTCTTTATTATTTATCTTTTCTTTTTATTATTTCATATATTAAATTATTATTCATTCATTTATTATTTATATTTCATTTATTAAATAAAATGAAAATGAAATTATAAAATATCAATCAATTAAATATTCATGAATAATTTATTAATATTTAATAATTGAAATAATAAATAATAATGTAACAATAATGATATATTCAATATATTCTTTATTTGATTTGTTCAATATTAGATTATTCTATTTCATTATCATTTCATTGTCTTCATTATTTTATTTCATTATTTCATATTCATTTATTATTTTTTAAAATCAAATAAACAATAATATTGATATTCATTCATCATATTCATTTAATATAATAAATATACACAACATTTCAGAATAAAGAATGAAT